AAACAAATATATATATTAACGAAGAACTTTTATTATATACTGTATCGAGTATCTGCACTGTATGGTACACCTGCAGTCAATAGTGTAACTCAAGCCTTTTCATTAGATATATAGATTTACAGTGATTGATAAAGGTATGTAGGTATATACTGCATACTAGTAGATAGATAGATAACCTCCAAGCTCATGGTTTCAGTTCATGGGAACCTGTTGAGGCCTCAGGACAACCCTAAGGGTGTGAAGAGAGCGAGAGAGAGAGAGAGGAAATTTCATGAGAGCTGCAGAGATATAACACATTCCTTCTTCTCAAGTTACGTAGAATTCAACCAATTTTTTAGCAGATATCTTAAAATCTTAAAAAAGGGAGTTGTGGAGAGGGGGGGGGGGATTTGAAACCCCCATTAGATAAAGCTTTTAAAATAAAAACTTTAAATGTGTCTACTGTGTAGTATATTAAAAGGGTATAAATGTGTTTTTTTTTCGGGGAAAAAAACTATACTATGAAAACTAGAAAACAGTGTAATAGAAAACCACTTTTAGACTCACTAAAGAGTTTCAATGAGCATGAGACAACTCAATTGTGCAGACGACCTATCTAACCAAGGAAATCATGGGCTACTGCTGAAACTTATTTGCCTTTTGAACATCAAATACTATTTATAATTGCTCTAAGGTCATCTTTAAATTCTCCAGTTTTATGGCTCTCACTGGATTGTGAGTACCTCACCCTAAAATCCCTAGCATTTGTATTTGCCTTTGGGGTAAAAGATATTGTTAAAAAAAATAAGATTTATACCATCTTTAATCTCTCCACTATAATTTAATTCTTAAAAGAAAAAACAAATGGCAGGGTTAAAGTTGAGTTAATAACTTAGAAAGTTTATTGAATCCATACCAGGGGAATACACGAGGGAATAGATAAAGAAATAAAAATTGCATGGAATCCATGATTCTTTTACATAATGAAGATTATCGATATTTCTTTAATTTTCAAATAATACAAGTTATTTCGTTGTAAAATAGGTGAAATTATTTCGAAGGAACTTACAATTTTAGAAAGACGAACGCGTACCAAACTTTCTTCTTTCAAAACTTGAATTCAATTGAAACTTTGAAATGATAAAAACTTTATGATAAATATCAAAAAATGAATAATTTCAGCATTGAATACAAAATGATTTAATAAAATCAAAGTATTTAGCATTTTTATAGTTTCTGTAAAAAGATAAAGGAATTGAGTTTTTGCAACAAACATAAATTTTCTAACCTCAATATCTTTGCAACATGATAGTGTAAACTTTTAATATTTCAAACTTAGACTATTAGTATTTGATCTACCAGAATTAATAGTTTGAAATATCAAAGGTCTAGGAAAACGGGTTGCTAAGTTATAAGAATTAGAAAATCTGAGTTTGTGGCAAAAACTCAATTCCTTTATTAGAAAAATGTATTAGAAAAAAAGAAAATCTAAGAATCAACGATAAAGAAAATGAGTCTTTGCCACAAACTCAAACTTTGCAACCTGAAGGTGTACCCCAGGTGGGATGATAGTTCTCTACCTGTGTGCTCAGTTAGCTTTACAGTACAATTACTAAAAATGATATACTATAGATTAGGCCAGAATCTCTTTATAATACTCAAATATGCAGTACTCTCTCAATATAGTTCCCGGCCTATACAATTAGTAAAGGATTAGCGTACATCATCACTCTGTATATTATAACATCGTTGGTACTATAAACCATATATAAATCTTATTATTAGATCTAGCAGAAATGAATTCCAAAGTACAGAACTACCTGGTTGCAAATATATTACAGAAAAGTTCTGGTTGCAAATATATATGAATAACAAATCAGAGTTTGTGGTAAAAACACAATTACTTTACTGTGCACTTCAGTGCTTTTAAATCAAAAAGAGAAAATTTTGGATTTACAATATTTCTTACTTTTCAAACTAAACTATCTAGTTGAAAACTAAATCAAACAACTTTCTCCAATCAAAGTATGTATAATTCAAATTCAATATCGGACTGAATAGCATACACAGCTGGAATAACTTTTGCATAAATAAAATTTGTTAAAGTAGAGAGAAGAAAAAATGGCATTATACCGTTTCACTGTTTATAAAAGCAGATAAATTTTTACAACGTTTAAATACATTCTTATTTAATTTTCTGATATAAATTTTAAAATAAATTGTCATTAGGCCATATACAAACGTTTTTCTGCAGGAGGAGGATTTGAAAGTTTGTACACGTCAGATAATTCAGTTTTAATAGATGGATAAAAATTAGAATTCCCTAGAACAGTATTGTGATACTTGAGAACATAAGTTTGTCCAAAACATGACATTTTCAATTTCATCCCTTGTCAATTTCTTCCTGAGCCCAAAACTTTTGATGCAACCCAGTGTCAGAAACCGAGGTTTAACTTTTGTTAAACTAAAATAAATTGTATTAAAAATCAATATACTAAATACTGAATATCAACACATTAACTTCTCTACTTGTGCCGTGTGTGTAAAATCAAAACTAGAGTAGCTACGATGTCACAAAGTCGAACGAGTATTGTCGCGATAATCTAATCGTCTCTGTCCGTCTAGTTTAAAGAGTGAGGGGTAATGCTATTTAGTAGATGTAAATTTTTTCAACGAATATTGTTTATTCAATTTGTAATTGTATGAAGAAAAAAACACGAGTATAACATGAAACTTTGGGAGGTTTCGTATACCAAAACTCTCTTAAATTCCTTGCTCTCTTTCTCCCTAGACCGGACTTGTACACTTGAATTGAGAACCTGTTTTTACAGATAAATTATATCCGGATCTCTCTCAGGGAATAGAAATAAAGGGAATGGAAATGGCACTGGTATAGCATGAGAAATACAGTTCCACATCTTTGGAGACGGGTTCCTTATTGTAGTGCATGCGCACGAAACATTCAGCTACAGTCAATGAAGAATTAGGCTGATGGAGGAGGAGTGGTGGGGCAGAGGGCCCGGGGTAGTTTTAAAACCCCAATTAAGTGTGGATGGGAGGCTGAGGGAGGAGGAGTGGTGTGGCAGAGGGAGGGGTAGTTTTAAAACCCCAATTAAGTGCAGATGGGAGGATTGGACTCCTTCATTTGTGTAAATACTAGATAATTTTTTTATACTGTCTCTCTATGACAGCTTGCCCTAACAGCTTGCTTCTGTAAAGCGGAGGAGTTGCTGACGGGTTAAGGATGGATTTATGAATTTGATACAGGTTGGATTTGATTGTTGATCCAATCTGGATACAAATGTTAGAGATGGATACGAATGTTAGGGTAGGATGGATATGAATGTTGAGTACTTATTCTCGAATTGGATATTGCAGGTTGGATGTGATTGTTGATCCAATCTTGATACGAATGTTAGGGATTGATATGAATATCAGGGGTTGGATTCAAATGAACTAAAAATGTTCAAATGTTGGTGCAGGATGGATGTGTACGAATGTTGAGTATTATTTCATAAATTGGATACAGGTAGATTTGATTGTTGATCCAATCTGGATATGAATATTAAGGTTGGATACGAATGTAAGGGGTATGATATTACTACTAATGCTGAGCTCTCAGGGAAGAGAATTCACAAGTTTTTTTGCGCAATTAGTTATTGCAGTTACAATACTTTGGTTTTCACGGATTTTCTTTTCGCGAAATTGTTTTTGCGAAAACTTTTAACGAAGTTTTTGTTCGCATGGAAACACTAATTAACAGACGCAAGCTCCTTTTGCATGGACACACACATGACGTTTCCGCCCCTTTTCTCTCTCTTTAGGTGCTATTTTTAGGGCATATATATATATATATATATATATATATATATATATATAAGATTGAACCACAATTCCTTTATGCTTTCCAATTCTAAAGCGGAAGGAATTTTATATTGGCTCTTTCAAAATATCGAGTTACTGTACTTATGTTTATTGAATATAGAGGGGTAAAGTGGTAGAATGTTCAAACACTTATATTTTCTTTATAAAACAATTTATAAAAATAAAGTTTTCAACAAGTTTTAATGCATTAAACCCTTGTACTGAAAGATGGAAATATTACTATATTTACAAAAAAACTTATTTTTAAGAACTCAAAATAAACTTATTTTTAAAAACTCAAAATAAACTTATTTTTAAGAACTCAAAATAAAATTATTTTTAAGAACTCAAAATAAACTTATTTTTAAGAACTCAAAATAAACTTATTTTTAAGATCTCAAAATAAAATTTATTTTTAATATCTCAAAATAGTACTTATTTTTAAGAACTCAAAATAAACTTATTCATAAGAACTCAAAATAAACTTATTTTTAAGAACTCAAAATAAACTTATTTTTAAGAACTCAAAATAAAACTTATTTTTAAGAACTCAAAATAAAACTTATTTTTAAGAACTCAAAATAAACTTATTTTTAAGAACTCATAATAAACTTATTTTTTAGAACTGAAAATAAAACTTATTTTTAAGAACTCAAAATAAACTCATTTTTAAGAACTCAAAATAAACTTATTTTTAAGAACTCAAAATAAAACATATTTTTAAGAACTCATGATAAACTTATTTTTAAGAACTGAAAATAAAACTTATTTTTAAGAACTCAAAATAAAACTTATTTTTAAGAACTGAAAATAAACTCATTTTTAAGAACTCAAAATAAACTTATTTTTAAGAACTCAAAATAAAACATATTTTTAAGAACTCAAAATAAACTTATTTTTAAGAACTGAAAATAAACTTATTTTTAAGAACTCAAAATAAAACTTATTTTTAAGAACTCAAAATTAACTTATTTTTAAGAACTCAAAATAAAACTTATTTTTAAGAACTCAAAATAAATTTTTTATTTTACAAGAAGGCCAGGGTTTCAACAAATTTTCAGTTACACATTAATTTTCGACGTTCAAAACTCCTACTTTGGGGGTGAATACGTTTTCAGAATTAGTTTTTTTAAAGCCAACAGCAATATATCCAACTAATGAGAAGAAACCAAAAGCTATTTATCCAACCAAAGAGAAGAAACCAACAGCAATATCCAACCAATGAGAAGAAATCAAAAGCTATTTATCCAACCAATGAGAAGAAACCAACAGCAATATATTCAACCAATGAGAAGAAACCAACAGCAATATATTCAACAAATAAGAAGAAACCAACAGCAATATATCCAACCAATGAGAAGAAAGCAACAACAATATATCCAACCAATGAGAAGAAACCAACAGCAATATGTCCAACCAATAAGAAGAAACCAACAGCAATATATCCAACCAATGAGAAGAAACCAACAGCAATACATCCAACCAATGAGAAGAAACCAACAGCAATATATCCAACGCGCAATGAGAAGAAACCAACAGCAATATATCCGACCAATAAGAAGAAACCAACAGCAATATATCCGACCAATGAGAAGAAACCAACAGCAATATATTCAACCAATGAGAAGAAACCAACAGCAATATATTCAACCAATGAGAAGAAACCAACAGCAATATATCCAACCAATAAGAAGAAGTTCAATAAGGTTGTTTGATGTTCCAGCATGTTGTGACCTTCGTTGATAAATTAAACATAGATTTTTCGCCTTTTTGCGTTTTAACCTTTCCTTCGGCGGATGCGTTTTAATTAAAAATGTATGAAAAAACAAATGCGTAAGTTTAAAATTTTTTGAATTATTAACATAAATGAGATTGAATTCAAGTTGAAGATCGAGAGCAGAAACATCTTTCCCAAAGGGGTTAGTTAAGGTTAGCAGGCTTTAAGGGCTTATAAAAATAAGGGATGGAACAAAATGTAGTGTCAATGTTTCAAATGGTCAAGAGGATTCATAAGATATCCCAAAATAGTTTTTGAGAAGTTTTTTATAGTTTGCTCAAGTTGATTGCATGAACCTAGAGAAAACTATAGATTCTCCATAATTATTGTAGGAAGTTATTTTTTCTAACCAATTTGTTTTCTGACCCTTTCATTAATTAAAACTTCTTTCTTGCTTGTAAGGAATTTTCCTAACAATATATGAATTTGTTCTAAAATAAGTCTGAAAATAAAATAAAGCTGATGCGTTGTTGTTTAAAATGGTCAACAACAACCTGTGGAAGTATTTTTGCTAAAGCTTTTAAAACCCCAATTAAGTGTGGATGGGAGGCTGTGGGAGGAGGAGTGGTGGGGCAGAGGGAGGGGTAGTTTTAAAACTCCAATTAAGTGTGGATGGGAGGCTGTGGGAAGAGGAGTGGTGTGGCAGAGGGAGGGATAGTGTTAAAACTCCAATTAAGTGTGGATGGGAGGCTGTGGGAAGAGGAGTGGTGTGGCATATATCCCTGCAGGGTATAACCATCACGAAATATCCCTGCAGGGTATAACCATCATTGAAAGGGTATAGCGAAGAGGAATTAAATCAATCCGTAGACCGCCATTATCCCCCCCCGCCCCCCTGTATTCCTAGAAAACTGGGAGTAGAGGAATGGAATACCAATTAATTCTGTTTCCTGACTGCCTATATTCCAGGAATTAATGCACAAGCCAAGAAAAGATGATTAAATAAGACCAATTTAAAACGCAAGAACAAAAAAGTGCACAAAATTTGTTTAAGTAATAAGTACTTCAAAGTTTAAAAATATTAATCAATTAATATTAAGATTTATTAAATGTTCTTGGTCCTAACACTCTCTGTAACAGAAATTTTAAAAGAATTTTATAAGATTATGTCTACACTCACTCTTACCCAAACAAAGGTTTTAAGGTACATTTGTGAAAGGATATACTACTAAAAAAAATTTGCGTCTACAGTTTCATTTAACCACTAAAAGAAATGTAATTAGAAGTAGAATTATTTTCTGAAACATAATTTCATTATAAGAAAGATCCTCAACAGAATGAATGCCTTTCATCTCCATTCTTTTATCTTTGATTACAACCGTGCTTTCTTCATGATTCATGAATGTTTTCTGGGCTAGAACAAAAGAAAAAGAAAGTTTACAAATTTGAAATTTCCTTAATTTTTGGATTAAAAAAGAAAAATTAATAAGAATTTCAATATGTTACACTATGTTTTATATGTACACTCTATTGCGCTCGAAAGTCAGAGACGTCTGGGACAAGGACCGAACCGTTAAATCATTGTGTGGAATGATGAGGATATCACGTCTGGGACAAGGACCGAACCGTTAAATCATTGTGTGGAATGATGAGGATTTCTTCGTTATTTTGGATCAGATAATGAATTTTATCTTTTTTTTTACCTGGAAAAGGTTTTTTAACTGCAAATACACCATTGCGTGTTTCGAACAATACATTTAAATATTCAATTTTAAATTTTAATTTCTATCAAATCTTCTTTTTTCAAAGATAACATTTCAAGAAAATTAAAATTATTGAGACGCCAGATTCCAGATGGTATGGTGTCCCGTGAAACATGACAGTTGGTAATTTTTTTTAAATGTCGTCTTCCATAATTTGTGTTAAGTTGTTTGATACCAAAGAGAATAATAAAAAATATTAAATTACATTCATAAAAAGTAAATTTGATTAGTAGATTTGATTTCAAAGTAAAACTTATTTGTGAAAAATTGTTTAACGAAATAAACTGCGAAAAGTCTTTAATATAAGATCAAGTATATGGAAGAAGACATTCAAAACTATTCACCAACTGTTATGTTTCGCGGGACACCCTGTATATTATATTCTAAAAAATGCGTTTCTTTAACGTTGAAAAATGATGATTTTATGCAAAAAAAGAAAGTTTGGCAATCATTATTGAATATTGTACCCCCCCCCCCTCATTCTTGAATCTGGGACATTAAAGTTTTGTTTAAAAAAATCATGTCATCTTGTTAACAGGAGTGTTTTCAAAAAATGAAAGGGGATAAAAGCTGATTTCGAATTGATTTTGATATTGATTGATTGCTACTTATTTTACTTCATTCACGTCTAAAAGGAGAAATGGTAAAAAATGACACACCGAAGACCACAGATAGTTTATTTAGATTTAAAACTAATCATTCAGATATTTTAAGCTCTAATTATCGAATTAAATTCGGGGAATTCCTGTGTAGTGTAAATAGCGGCCAAACATCGTCCTCACCTACAACATATACTGCTAAATTGATAAAACGTGACAATAGACCAAATGAACTACTACTCCCTTATAGTGAAATCTATGTGATATATTTACATTTATATAAATTTATTTTAACTTATAGAAGTACATATGCATATATTTATATATGTATATATGTATAATGATTTATAATTTCTATTTGTTTCAGATCTGTGTTATGAAAATGTTTAATTAGATTAGATAATGATTACTAGAGCTCTACTAAACCTTTCTACCATCCAGGTAATTAATTCTAAACCCATCTGACTTTTAAGCAGAGTTATAGAAAATTAGACTTTTAGGGGGCGCTTCGTGTCCATCTTCTCTTTCAACTTTTATTTGTGGTTCTCTGTTTTCTTATCTTTTACAAAAATGAAAACCTTAATGTATTTTGTAAAAGCACATTTTATGCTATTTAGATTTCATTTGTTGGTTAAACTCTCTAAATTAATTAATCAATTTAGAAATTATCGCATGTCATAATTAATAATTAAATGAGTAAAATTAATGTGATTTTTTTATTAAAAAATCAGTTAACTTAAAAGCTAAATGCCACAAAATGCAATACCAATGAGCATTAGTATATAGAAATACAAACATTTTAACAAATCTGCCAAGGTTTTTTATATACTGGTGATTTCGCAGTACGGATTTAACACACTGTATTTCCACCAGCCAAAACCGAACTTTCTCATAAATTTACGATCTGTAAAATGACCCAAACTTTCTTCCGTTTATAATAATTGTTAAGCAACGTACTTCCTTATATTGAAAAATTCAAGTTATCCCTGCATGGTATAACCATCACGGAATATCCCTGCAGGGTAAAACCATCACTGAATATCCCTTCAAAGTATAACCATCAAAGGATATCCCTTTAGGGTATAACAATCACGGGATATCACTTCAGGCTATAACCATCACGGAATATCCCTGCAGGGTATAACCATCATGGGATATCCCTGGAGGGTATAGCCATCACGGGATATCCCTGCAGGGTATAACCATCACGAAATATCCCTGCAGGGTATAACCATCATTGAAAGGGTATAGCGAAGAGGAATTAAATCAATCCGTAGATCTGCATTCCCAAGATTCACAATACAAAAATTCGGATACAATTTTTTAAGTACAAAGAGAAAAAAGTAAAAGAAAGAAAAAACTTGTCTAGGACTGATCCAAAAATGAAAAAATAAAATAAAATGTTTTTTCATCTTACTTGTTTATTTTACCTTTTTTTAATGTCTGTGAATACACGATGTGCTTACTATTTCATGCTTCTTTGTTCAATCTTGATATTGGATTTTACTTCTGGTTTGGATTTTCATGTCTATGATCATACCAATGCAGACTTTATGTAAGTATTCCAAGAAAGCAATGTTCTAGATAAAAATAACAGTGAAAAGACTGTCGTCTACAATATTCATTTTATCATAATTGCTGCTAAAGATATTTCTATTTGTAACTTTTTATTATTGGGTTATCATTAGCTTATCATAACAAAAATGTCTAGAATTCAGATTTTATTAATTTGATTACTACCCGCTTTTTACTAACTTTGTTCCCATGGTCTGGCACCCAGAGTTATACAAATTACAAATGAAAGTCATAACCACTATTTTTGATCCAAAGGTTTTCCTATTTACGTTGTTCTATTCTTTTTTAACTTAAATAATCTATTTTAATTAAGTTTTTCATTATTTTTAAATATTTATATGATATCAGATGAAAATATTTTGAGATTTCTATATTTCTTGTTCTTCATTTTCTTCTTGTTTGTACATCTTCCAATCATATTTTGCTAATTTTGAAAAAAAAATTTTTTTTGGATATTCTTGTAGTTCGCCACACTACACGTGGATTTAACGGTTCTGTCAATATTCCAGAAATATATTTTCTTAAATACTTTTTGTCGGCATATGCATTTTGAAGAAAAAAGTATAGAATAAACAAATCCGTAAGGTAAAATTTTTTTGAATTATAGATCAAAACACGTTGATTTTTATTAGAAGAACACAAATGCTGCTGACTCTGGTTAGTCCGGGGTGACTATTTTAAAAGAACTTGCTTTTTCTAAACTCTATAATTTAATTTAACTAACTTTCAAGCCCTATAAAGAGGAATCTTCCACAGCATTCCAGTCCTCACAACTGGTTGAGTAAAAAACCTGTATCGTTGTGCATGGCTTGTATACCCAACAGGGGTTAAACTCCTTCTTTCAGCTACACCAGGCTGAAGATAGAATCTTGTTTTATTCTATATTACATTCTACAAACTACTCCCTTGTTGTTGTTCTATTCTAAGTTGTTCTATTCTAAGTTGTTCTATTCTAGGTTGTTCTATTCTAGGTTGTTCTATTCTAGGTTGTTCTATTCTAGGTTGTTCTATTCTAAGTTGTTCTATTCTAGGATGTTCTATTGTAGGTTGTTCTATTCTAGGTTGTTCTATTCTAGATTGTTCTATTTTAGGTTGTTTTATTCTAGGATGTTCTATTTTAGGTTGTTCTATTCTAGGATGTTCTATTATAGGTTATTCTATTCTAAGTTGTTCTATTCTAGGTTGTTCTATTCTAGGTTGTTCTATTCTAAGTTGTTCTATTCTAGATTGTTCTATTCTAGGTTGCTCTATTCTAGATTGTTCTATTTTAGGTTGTTCTATTCTAGGATGTTCTATTTAGGTTGTTCTATTTTAGGTTGTTCTATTCTAGATTGTTATATTTTAGGTTGTTCTATTCTAGGGTGTTCTATTTTAGGTTGTTCTATTCTAGGATGTTCTATTATAGGTTGTTCTATTCTAGGATGTTCTATTATAGGTTGTTCTATTCTAGGATGTTCTATTTTAGGTTGTTCTATTCTAGGATGTTCTATTTTAGGTTGTTCTATTCTAGGATGTTCTATTCAGGTTGTTCTATTCTAAGTTGTTGTATTCTAGGTTGTTCTATTTGGTTCAGTTCTATCAAGAGATAAGTTTGCCAGGGAGCCTTCGAACCAGGTTTAAACAGTTTAACAAAAAAAATTGAATTAAGAGGATTTTAGTCTCTGTCTAACCCAATGTCGTAGACCTTATATATTTCAATCTATGAATTCTATTAGATCAAAACATCTAAGTTTAACATATCAAAGGTTCACACCATCAGGTTACAAAGATATACGGATTACAAAGTTTTTGTTTAAAAGTTTCAATTCCTTTCTCAACATTCTCATGTCAGACAAAACAAATTCACGGGAGAATTCGCTCAGTGTACCATTTATCAAAATATAACTTTAAAAAATGTACAATTTATTAATTCCGGCGGTGTTCCAAAAATATCAAATTTCTCAAGTGGCAACTTGCCAAACATGAAAGTTTAAGTGGACACGTACACTTTACATGTATCTCCTAGCCTAACAAAACAGTACTGCATGGACAAAACAAAACAGGCTTCACTGACTTGAAAAAAAGACCCATTTAGAAATAATATTAATATTTTGGGAAAATAAATATCTTTGGAAAACTCCCAACTTACATAGCAGAAATAAAGTACCCACAAAACTTGGGGATTAATTAGGACGATCCCTCTTTTAAAAACAGACAGCTCTCTCACTATTTAAGTTGAAATTAGGGTTTCCAGCGAACGAAACGTTTTGTTAAAAAATACGAAAATTTTCGCAAAATCTCGAATTTTTTCGCGAAAATAAATGAAGCGAAAACGAAGCAAAATTACGCGAAAATGAAAAATGCGAAAATTTCGCAACATGCGAAATTTTTCCAGCTGCAACAATAAAAAAAACTCTCTGCTCTGATAACTTAATATTTGAAGTTTTATTTTGTCATATAAATAATTTCTCTTCCTTTACTTTAATAAATGTTTGATGAAGAGAATTTGATTTCACTAGCTATTTTTAAGTTTCTGTCTGTTTTTTTGTATTATTTTTTGGCGAAATTTTCGCGTTATTTTTTTAGCGGAATTTTTGCACTTTTTCGCAATTTATATTTCGCGAAAGTTTTCGCATTTTCCCGATCGTACGAAATGAGAAATTTTCGCGAAAAGCTTTTTCCTTTTCGCTGGAAATTAGGGTTATCAAAATACGAACAAAAATTTTCGTTTGCTGGAAACCCTAGTTGAAATAGATGATTTTAATCAAAGCTTCCTAAATTAGATGAAGAAAAGTATCTTGTCTAAAGTTGAAGAAAAGTTCTGACTTTCGTCCCATCTTGTTAAAGTTCGATACAACCAACGAAATGTAAAGTTCGATACAACCAATGAAATGTAAAGTTCGATACAACCAATGAATTGTAAAGTTCGATACAACCAACGAAATATAAAGTTCGATACAACCAACGAAATGTAAAGTTCGATACAACCAATGAAATGTAAAGTTCGATACAACCAACGAAATGTAAAGTTCGATACAACCAATGAATTGTAAAGTTCGATACAACCAATGAAATGTAAAGTTCGATACAACCAATGAAATGTTAGTTTTCTTTACAGATTGCTCGGATAGGGGATGAAGTTTTATTCGCTTGCAAACTCACCAGTCAGCGCAGTAATGTTCAATGGACCAGGTATTTTTTAAATTTTTTATTTTTTTACCTAAATTAAATTTGATAAATTTTTTTGATAACCATCTTACTTGGTAAAAGCGTGGTTTTGTTTTACACAATTTCCGTAGTATCCTACTGTGCGTAGGGCTGGACATTGTTCCGTTAGGGAAACGGAGGTTTTCGATTTTTAAAACATTTAAAAAACTTCCCACATTTCAAAGCTTAGAAATATTTTTTGTTTTTTTCACTCTTCTTCGATCTTCATGTCTCATAGGGAAAATAAGTAAAGCAAATGTTCGGTATAAGCAATTTTGGAATTTGTAAGACCTCAAATTTTTGTGGAAGTTTTACGCCGTTAATACTAAAAAAACCATTAACGATTTCAGGAACTGATAATACTGTAATAAACCGTTAAGGGCTATGCTGTTGACAATTTTTAAAACGTTGATACTGCAATTTCTTAAACAGTTAACTATTTTTTTTCGGCCCTTTGCGGCGTTAATAATGTATTACACCGTTAATGGCTGGAGTCATTAACGGATTTTGGATTTTTTCCGTTAATATTGTTCATAAAATTTAAATCATTAACTACAGGTTATTTTAAATAAAAACGGAAAATGCCGGTAACGAGAAGAACGTTCCGTTATTATCTTTAAAATTAATGGATAACTGAAATTTTATTTTTAGCGGTTGGAACTAACCGTGAACAAAACGTCTAGAAAAGTTGAAACGTGCCAAGCCCTAAGTGTGGTGTGTTTAGTATTATTTAGCACAAAAATTGATTCTTTGCCAAACACTCAGATTGTCTAATCCCTAATACCTTTGCAAACCAATTTCTTAGATTTTTTATATGTAAAACTAAGACTTATATTAGATCAAATATTTACATCATCAGGTTGCAAAGATATATGGATTCTGAAATTTGAGTTTTTGGCAAAGATTAAATTCCTTTTGCCTTAAAAAAGTATTTTACTCTGGGTAAAAATGATGATTTTGATTTAAAACAAATTATTTTTATATAATAAAGATTTATTTACAAACAAAGATATAAATACATATATAAATGGTGTAGTTTAAGTTTGTTTAAATAAATTTTTGAAAAAACAGTTTTCCAAAAGAAAAGTGAAATATATGCAACATTATGCACAAATAGACGACATTGATCATTACTCATTACATAACATATTTATCATTTCAGTTATTACGTAATCATCGAATCCTTCAACATAAAAATTATTCGTTCTTGTATTTAAAAGTTCTTGTAAAACCGGAACTTTCCATGCATGGTACAATGGGACATCAAAATATTTCATTTGTTTCTTAACTAACATTTCACTAAGATCCGAAAAATTTACAGAACAGTCATTTGCAATAGAAAATAAATTTCTGCCAAGAACTGTGTTAAGGTCATTTTCACATAAATTAGAAAGAAATCTAATGCAAAGCTTAGAACTTGCTTCAATAGTCTCATAGAAAGACACACATCTACTAGTTAACATAGTTTTACATGTAAACATTGTGAAATACTTTCAATCAAGTACCATTATTTTCAGGAATGGTTTTGGTTTGGGGTTCGGCAGGGATCTGTTGGGGTTTTCTAGATATTCGATAATTGGATCATCAGCAGAAGGTAGGATAATAGGTCCTTCCATTGTATTAACTTCTAGTGTCACATATTTATATTTAATGCTTTAACATCATTGCTAAATAACCCGGATTCGAAACACTTCTTTCATTGCAACAAAGATCTGATTCAACATTACTAGGTTCGATTAGTTCGAAATATATAAAGTAAGGTTTCAAACACAAATTGGAAAGCTTTGATTGAGTCTTTGCCAGAAACTCAAATAGAATAATCTCTTTATCTTTGCAACTTGGATATTTCATACATAAGTTATTTGGTCTAAAAGAATTTATAGGATGCAATATCTCAGTTCTACGACATTGGATTGCAAAGATATAGTAATTAGATAGCATCGTTGCAAACCAATGTCGTAGAACTATTTCAGTCTATGAATTAATGATTAAGTAGTTTAAGTTTGATTTATCAGAGGTTTGTGCAATCAGATTGAAAAGATTAGAAAATCTGAGTTTGTGGCAAAAGATTAGTTCCTTTGATGAATACAAAGTAATGCAGTTATGCCTAGCTAAACATTTGTTACATTATGTTCTTAATGTTCAACAAAAAGGTTTAAATTTTAAAATACATTTAAATCGAATTCTCAAAAATTTGACTCAAAAAAAATTTGATTTTTGAAAATTCTAAAAAAATCCACCAATTTTTTTTTTAAATCTGCGAAATTTTTTGTTTTACAATGTTTACAAAGAGAACATGTTCACAATTGATATAGAAGACGGGCATAGGTCTTAATATTATAAACGAAATGTTTAGGCTTTCCTAAAGTGTATATAATTCCCCCTCCTTTAAGTATATGTTTGCAGTGTGGTGGTTAACATATTGATGAAGATTGAAGATTGATTAGATATCTATTACTTGTCAATTTATGTAATAGCATATTAGTGGTCCAATTTAACAACAGCACTAAGCAGGAGCCTCTCAGAGGGGGGATGAGACATTTACCCCCACCCCCCTATGTTAGGAACTTTTCCAAAGGCTTTTTCCCAAGTGACAACTTCCCAAGTGGTATTTTCCCAAGTGGTAATTTCCCCAACGACAACTTCCCAACTCTGTCCAAGACCAAGCGCTCGGCCCCAATTACAACATGCGGCGCCTCAGAGATCCTAAACTTACCCTGAGGAAGTTACCGTTTGGGAAATTACACATATGGGAAGTTGCCGTTTGGGAAACTGTCAAATGGGAAGTCGCCCTTGGGAAAAGTCTGCCCCTCCTGATCCACTAGCAAATTGTTCATATTTTGAAATACTTAATATAGTCGAATGCAACGTAAACTACTAAAAATAACAATTAAACTCTGTGGTGACAGCCATTTTTAAGCTATATTAAGAAAAGTGGGGGCCGGCCTAGGGGACCCCCTGTAGGTATAAAATGCCCCAGTTTTCTAAAATAAAAGTATACAGTGTCAAGTTCTAAGGTAGTGAGATTCATGAAAAAAATAAAAAGTGAGATTTGAAAATCCAAAATGAGAATAAAAAATTTAAACTTTTATTTTCAAACTGTGGTATTGGCGGTAGTGAGATTTCAAAATCCAAAATGAGAATATAAAATTTCAACTTTTATTTTCAAACTC